TTATGTAAACTGTACCTTTTGAATGCCAGACATTCTTCTTAGAAATGCTTTCCTTTTTTTTTTTTTTTTTTTTTTTTTTTTTTTTTTTTTTTTTTTTTTGGGTCATTGTTACCACCAGAGGACTGGGTGAGGCTGTAAGGGTGTGAGGAGGCCTCACAGGAGCTCCCCAGGAGTCTAGGGATTCCTGGGTGCCCTGTTCTTGCACAGCAAGCAGTGCCTAGGAGGCACGGCTGTTTGGCGCCGGTGTGGCACTGCGTGTGGGGTATTAAGCCCCAGCCCGTGAGGGCGGTATCTTGCCCACTAGGGCATAGGACCCTAAGAAGGGTCAGGGGGCCAGGCACGGCTACGGGCCACCTAAGCCCCTGGCACAAGAAGCGTGGGACAGGCCCAGAGAGGGCGACGAGTGTGAGGCACACGGTTTACAGTCCAGAGTAGGGCCAAGCGCACGGTGAAAAGTCTGGAGAAGGACAGACTGCGTGGTGAGAAGCCTGAAGAGGACAGAGGGTGCGACTTGAGAAGCCCAGCAGGGGCAAAGCTATTGAGAAGCTGCCCCAGTGAGGGCGAGTGCAAGTGAAGCCCCAGTGAGGGCAGGACCCTGAGAAGCCCAGCAGGGGCAAAGCTATTGAGAAGCTGCCCCAGTGTGGGCGAGCGTGGGACGCGCGAGTGAAGCCCCAGTGGGGGCAAAGCTATTAGGGAGAAACCCAGTCGGTCAGTGTATAGACAAGCCCCGAGCGGTGAGCTTAGCGAGAAACTTAAAGGAGCCAGCTTAGGGGCCAGCCTGAGTGGGCTAGCGAATACAAGGGAACCGGCAAAAGGGCACGAGTTGCGTGACGAGCTTGGGAGCACCAGTAAGGGTGCTGGCTGCATGACAAGCCCAGGGGTGTTAGCCAGGACGCCGGTTGAGTGGCAAGGCCAGGGCACCTACAGGAGGCGCCAGTTGTGTGGCAAGCCCAGAGCACCAGTCAGGGCACGGAGAACAAACTGACCAGTCAACGTCTGGGACATCTGCGAGGCTTGGGGCTTGCTAAAGGGGAGGTTGGAGGCACGCGTCGCCCATAAGGCTGGGGTGCACGGGGTCACTCCTTAGAGGATATGGGCCAGTATGAACATAGCACCGTGTCATAGAGAACAGTAAGGCAGCCTCCCTTAAAGATATAACAGCAAGACATGGCGGGCGAGACAGAGGGTACTAAACAGTTAACTTGGCACGGTAGGGGGCGCTAGGGAGATCACGGCTGCTCCCGCACCCCACCCTGTGACACTCTGTCTTCCACAGCTCTCTAACTATGCAAAAAAAATCCCATCCCATCCAAAAAAACCCCTGTCACCTTACTTTCACCGCTGAGCACGTTAATCATGCTTCTTATACCTGCTGATATGAATTCATCTTCTTCAGTCTTATCTTGGATCCTCTCCAGTCTGGCTCCCATCTATTTAATTGCACTGAAACTGCTTTCAGCAAGGTCCTAGTGACCACTTCCTGGTTTGATCTCACCACTTCTGCTCTATGCTCATCCCTGCCTTCTCTGTTGTACTTGACAGTGGTAAGCATTAATAAAATATTTCATAAAATCTCTCTCAGCTTTCTTAGCATTTCATGGCAAGTTCTGCTACACCACTGTTTCTTCAATATCTTTTTAGTAGGATCTTGTCCCTCCCACTGCCTGTTCACCAATGGAGTGCCCTCCAAATCAGGCTTTATTTAGGTGATATCTGCTTGAATGGCTGTACCTTCTATCAGTATGCTGAGTGATGACTAAGAAATTTAGCTTTACTATTACTACTCTCCATCCATCCAATTCTGTATTGAATCCAAAAGTTCATACAATATGCTTTTTGTTTCTAGTATAGCACTTAGCTTATTATGGGATCTTTTGGAATCAAAAATAATAAATACAACTTTTGCTAATAATAGCAATGTGTGTTTTATAATTAGTCGCTTTCAGCAGAATTCCCTATTAGTCACCTCTTTTCAGAGACCCCAAACAATAGGCTTTATTTTCATCTTGAACTATTTCCCAATTAAGATGCAATTAATTACATTAAATTAAATCCTTAACTTTTATATATTGAAAAAAATCATTAAAATATTAATTTAAATTTAAATTAAAGTATTTTAAACAAAGGAGAATAATCATCTTAAATACTTTAATACAGTTACTAGAGAGATAACAAATAATTGTTTTACATTTTATAATTTTACCAACTAGTGCCTCATTAATTATCATGATCATTAATTACCATTACTAAAAGTTACTACTAATTAATAACAACACAAATAAAGGTTATTTAAAAATTTGCTTTTGTAATGGGCAGAGCTAATTTACAAAAAATGGAAAATTATTTTAACTAAGATAAAAGGTAATAAACAATGGAATTAATTCACAGCTCAGCCAAAGAATGTAAATTAGGTTTAATTCAATTTAAAATTCTCCATCAAACCTAGTCGCAGTATTTAATAATGGCCTCACTGATGGCAAATGTTAGAAACATCAAGCATGATCTTGTGACATTGGGTATATTCTGCAGTTATCCTTTCATAACACATGAATAGATAGTAGGTACTATAAGTAATAGATGTGGTAGGGGGAAAAACAGTATCTCGATCTGACAGCTTAAAACTATTACATGATTTTCAGGATTTAAACAATCTGTCACACCCAGCTAAAATGGTTTGTTTTAGCAGTGCAATTCATAAAGAGAATATTGCTGTGCTGATGGCAAAATACACTCTCACACATGATTAGGGACTGATATCTATGTATGAGGGAAGATACCATCTGATGAAGAGCTAATAATGATGAGCTTCATGATAATTTGACAGTCTCAAGAAGCAAAGCCTTCCTGGAAATGAAAAAGCAGTTTAGATGTAGTAGAAAAGAAACTTTTAAAGAGAAAAGATCTCAGTCTATAAATTCTAAAGGGGAAAGATTTCAGCCCATCAGGTACCCTTGTGGAGAGGGCTGGGGGTATATCTCCGAACAATGAAGGGGTTGAAAGGAGCTTTTACAGATGACTGGCTGGCTGAGTTCTTGATTATTTTATTGCTGCTAACAACACCTACTGCATTAAGGACCCTAAAACCTCACATGAGCAAGTTTTTATTATGCAAATATACATAAAGTGAATTACACTTTCTTAAATTCACCTCTTCCCTGCTATCCCTTATTTTCCTGTACCCCATTTTGTCATTAATTGGTGATAATGCAGAATAAGGGCACTGATTTTAATATAGGTTTCATAAGAACGATATTTTGATTAGAGATGGATGTCATTTTTGGCTTAATATTTTTAATTATTGATTTCAAAAGCATTTTTTTCCATGATGTATTGTCAATGTGACAGGATATTGTTTTTAAAATATTTTCAGTGATTTTTTTTTTTTTTAAACCTATGTTTACTAATATCACTATAGAAACTTTTCATTTACCACAACTAGTTTTGGTAAATAAAAACAATTTTCAGAATGCTTTTGATATGAATTTCTTTTTAAAAGATACAAAATACATCATAGAAAACTTAAAAACATGGAAAGTGTGGTCTGTTGAAATAACTCATAGAGAAACTCTTTAAAATTCCAAACTTCTGTGCCTAATACCTTACTTATTTTCTCAATGACTCGGTATTAATAAGCTCATTACTAAGGAAATAAAAAATTAAAATTTAAGGTTTATAGGGTGGAAGACCTTGGCTTTTGACCTCGTGAAACACAAAATACTGATACATATAATAATAACTTAAGAGTGACCTTCACACACCATCTGTTTAAAAATGAACAACACAGAGCTTTTACTCATGATGTACCAGTTACTCCATCAGGGACAGCTCTCTTATTATCTTTTTTTACCTCCACTTAGACATTCAACATCCATCTCCAATAGAGAAGGGTAGAATGAGGATTGAGAATAAGACAGTCATGATCTATCCACTTCTCAAATCATTTTGTGTCTTGCTGTTGTCCATTTGTTTCTTTCCACAGGAGGGATAACCTTCAGTCTGCACCATTCATTTTACTTACACTTAAATGGAAGTTTCATTTATCTTTGGCTAATGCTTTACTTTAGACTCAGCTGCTAAGTGAGTCTGACACACTTTCGTACAAAATGCTGCTCTCCAAACAAACAGTTGAGGCTCACAAGGTCCCCAGAGGTGTTACAACCCTTAGGTATAATTAGCTTCTCTTCCTTGCTAAATCTCTTAATCCAGCCAGAGTCCTCCCTTTCCATCCCTTTCTTTCAAATCAGCCATCAGCTTTTCTTCCTGATCTTGCATTTCAGTGGGTGCATCTACATGTTCATTAATGCACTGTAGTTAGTATGCATTAAGCTTAGTACTTGCATAACCAAGTACTAAATCAATGCGCAGAAGCTGGTACTACTGCAAAGTAGCGTCAGTGCATGGGTTTTTATAGATGCTAACTCCGCAGTAGCCTAATACTATGTGCAGTAGCATATTAGCACAGGTTTTGCCCGGCACACTACTGCACAGTGTTATTAGGCTACTGTGCAGTTAGCATCTTGTGTAGACACACCCAGTTCCTTGATCCATTGCTCTCTCCATTCCTCTCTTGTATTCTCACTATACTCTTACACCCCTGGACTAACTATGCTGCCTAGATTGCTTCCACCCATTTCCCTCTACTTTCTCTTCCACTTCTCCCCCCTCAACTTCCTGATAGAAGCTCCCTTACTGGTCTCCCTGACCTCTACTCCACTTACCCATCACTATCTTTTTCAGCCAGTCAACCTTCTACTGATTTCTTTAGCTGCTGTTCTAAATTCCTCCATACCTTTTCTTGTTGTATTTAACATCCCACTCTATCTTCACTCATGCCTTCTATCTCCAGCTGGAATATACGATGATGTTCCCTTTTGATCAGTTATTTAAGATCTGCAGGCTAAGCATGATAGCACCAATGTGATAGGGTTCACATTAACCAGTACTGTCTGGGTCAAACGCAAAGCTTCCATTGTCTGACCCTGCTCAGATAAGCACATAAAAAGCCTGAACGGACAGTCAAACATAAGCAACCATTTTTAGGTGAGGAACATTACAAAAATAGAATTCTTTCAAGATTTTCTGACTTCCTTGTTTTGGCTGGGTAGAAATACTGTAAAAATAGTGTCTTCCAGTATTTCAGTTTTTCCGTTTCCCATACAGGCCAAAAACAGGAAATGCAAAAGCATGTGAATTTTAGATTTTTACCAAACCTAAATATTTTGAACCTCAGAAAAAATTCTTCAAAAAGCCAAAGTCACAATCCAGTTTCCATTTTTATCAAAACCAGTTTATCTTTTCCTTTATTTACTCTTCAGTACAAACACTGATTAGAATATCTCCTGTATTTGTAGTGCCCTAAAAGTGTTCAGATATTACATAAACAGGTACTGCTGATAGAGAGTAGGAGGATAGAGTATACACTGCCCTTTGTGGAAACTTATGAGTGAATATCCTGCTATTCAATCTTTTGTGGTTCACTTTAACTTGACATTGAATTCCCAGGTTTTCTT